ACGTTTAAGTTTTTGTTATCTGCTGAAACACAAAAGTGACGTATTTATGCAGTTTAAGCAATGGGTAAACTTTGTGGAAAGACATTATAATACAAAGGTATGTGGATTGCAAACAGATAGAGGTGGTGAATGTATGGCTGGAAATTTCCAGCAATGGCTAAATAGGAGGGGCATTAAACATAGGAAAACTAACCCCTGTACACCAGCTGAAAATAGTGTGTGTGAATGCTGGAATGGTGTATTCCAGACTATGAAAGATTCACTGTTGTCTGACTCAGGCTTATCTGCAGGTTACTGGGGGGAAGCGATAAAAACAGCAAATTATTTGGTAAACAGGCTGTGGTCTTCAGCGATAAATGAAACACCCTATTCTCTTTTATATGGTAAGAAAGCATAATTAGCTCATTTAAAAGTGTTTGGGTGTCATGCGTGGGTGAATACTCCGAAACCACTCAGGAGAAAAGGGCAAGCAAAAGCAAGAAAGCTCATATTTGCAGGATATGAACAGGGATCTAAAGGGTATAGATTCACCGATGGCAGAAAAGTTGTCATTTCAAGATCTGCAAATTTTTGTGAACATAATAACTGGAGAAGGTTGCATGAAAATTCAGAGGTATATCTTCCAAGACAAGAATGGGCTGAACTGTTGCTACGGCGACGGACTGCTCAAGGACAGATAAAAGTAGAGGAAGAATTAACCTCAGAAGTGCAAGTTAAAGAGGAACCTACACTATTACGTAGATCTGAAAGGAGTAACAAGGGGATTCCACCTCAAAGATTCACACCAGGTGATGTGAAAGTATGTTATGTAAATTATGAGCCACAAAACTACCAGGAAGTATTGCAACTTCCAAAATCTGAACAAAGAGAATGGAAAAAAGGCCATGCATAATGAAATGAAGTCTCTGCATGAACATAATGTCTTTGCTTCTGTAACATTGCCTATAGGAAAAAGGATAATAGGATGTAAATGGGTATATAAAAAGAAAATATTAGTTAATGGTGACATAAAATACAAAGCTAGACTAGC